ATAAGGTTGAGAACCACTGTCATATGTCAAATTTGCTGAAAGTGTTAACATCATAGGCATTTTTACACTTAAAAATGTTGAATTTCGTGCCAAAATAAGAGCATTTGCGGGAAGTTTTAATTTAGTACTTTATTTTGAACAAAAAGTTATCATATACTTCGGGAAGCTTATGATGAACATGCTCCATCTCAAGATAACTGTGAACGCTGGTTTAAATGCTTTAAAAGTGATGATTTTGATGTGCAAGACAAAGAACGTCTAGGACAACCGAAAAAGTTTGAAGACCAACAATTACAAGCATTATTGGATGAAGATGCATGTCAAAGTCAAAAACAACTTGCAGAAAGATTAAATGCTGCTTAGCAAACAATTTCCAATCGTTTACAAGCAATGGGAAAGATTTTAAAGGAAGGAAAATGGGTGCCACATCAACTGAATGAAAGACAAATGAAAAACCGAAAAGTCATCAGTAAAATGTTGCTTCAACAGCACAAAAGTCTTTTTGGCATCGAATTGTGGCTGGCGGTGAAAAGTGGATTTATTTTGAGAATCCCAAATGCACAAAATCATAGGTTGATTCAGGTCAACCATCAACATCGACTGCAAAGCCAAATCGCTTCGGAAAAAAGACAATGCTCTGCACTTGGTGGGATCAGGAAGGTGTGGTGTATTATGAGCTTCTAAAACCAGGTAAACCATTAATACTTGTTGCTACCGACAACAAATAATCAATTTGAACCACACTTTGTGAAACGACCAGGATGTGCCAGAAGACATGGCAAAGTAATTTTGCTTCATAATAATGCACCATCACACACTTCAAAACTAAGTTAAAGACACATTAAAAGATCTTGCCTGGCAAGTATTAATCCACCCACCGTATTCACCAGACCTTGCTCCTTCAGATGACCACTTGTTCCGATCGATGGCACATGCACTTTCCAAACAGCACTTCGAAACGTACGAAGAAATGGAAAATTGGGTCTCTGAATGGTTTGCCTCAAAATAAGAAAAGTTCTATTGGGACGGTATCCACAAATTACCTGAAAAGATGGAGAAATGTGTAGCTAGTGATGGACATTACTTTTAATACAGCATTTTTGATGTTTCTCTTGAAATTATCATGTTTTCTTTTATTACAAAATCTACCATTATTAGCCAGTACACCTAGTAAGAGAAGAGCACAGGACTTGGAGTCTGAAAAACTGGTTCTAGCATTTTCTAGCTTTTAGACTTGGTCAACAACCCAGAGCCTCCATTTTCTTATCAATGGAATGGGGGAGGGGAAAATAACAAAAATCAGTAATGATTACCTGTGACTCATCAAATGCACAGGCTTATTGTGGGGGCTAATAAGTAAAAGGAAAAAGTCTATACACACTAACATTAGTTATTTCCCAGGTTGTAAACTCAAAACAAAAGCAGTATGTTAACCCTAAAAGGTCATCTCAGCTCTTCATTCCACAGGTTTTGATGCCTGAGAATTCTCTAACCTTATCACAACTGTGGGAAGATATTCTGGCACTAGGCTGCAGAGATAAAGGGGCTTTCTAGAGTAGGAGTCCATTCGGAGAAACAACAAATCCCACTCAGCAATTAGGGGCACAGACCACTCTGCCCCAATCCGTTACTTACGTGAGGCTGACAAAAGAGAAGCCAAGAACCACAGTACAGAGAATTAAGGGGGAAAGCTTTAAGAGAAAGACTTAATTGAGGGCTGTCTCTCCTAAACAATCACAAGAAAATACAGATCTAGTCCACCCCAGGAAACCTCAGGGAAAATATCATTTTGATTGTGTGTTTGCATCTTTTACAGAGCATACAAGAGTACTGCTGGGCACTGCAAAGCAGAAGCTAAGAGAACCTGAACTTATATTATGCCATTATGGGGCTATTATGCTTAGCTAATGTTGAAAAAAAGCACAAAATTTAAGTGCCGAAGTTAAAATCACAAATTCTGAGCTAAACTACAAGACAGAGTTCCACATGATTTCATTCTATTTTTATTTGACAGGCTATTAATTGCAATCACTGAACAGATTTTCATCTTAGGACAGCTAAGGTTTCTCTTGGCACCAAGTCCCAAAGAACATTGTCCTCTCTCTTGGAGATATTTCTCTAACCAATCGTCCTATCATTTGCCTCACGGGCTTGTTTAAATTGACACTTGAGAGTAAATTTACACCTTCCTTTTTTAGAAAAACAATCCCAGATGAAGGTACCAAATGATCTATCCTATTTGAATTAAAAGTATAAATTCTGCTATGGATTATATAAATGGGAACCCTTGAGGGGGAAGCTCAGATAAAGTGGAAAATTTTTTTTTTAACCTGTAAATTATTTTCTCAACATATCCATACTGGTTACTTTTAAATATCTTTCTATCTCTTCCTTAAAATCCAGCTAACAAACATATCATTATAAA